GGCAGATGAGTTATACAGTCTTATGGCAGTAGTGGAAAGCAGCTATGCTTTTGAACTTTATAAATGTTTTGCACTTTACAAAGATTTTATTGAAGCAATTTCCTTGTCTATGTAATCTATTACGTGTGTAAACCATAATAAAGTTGATTAAAAAGGAAAGCAGCTATGTACATTTACATTAATATTGTGTAAAACTTAAATGCGGTAGTTGTTAGCATAGATAGACCATTGCCAGTTTATATATGTATATAAGGGATAGACTTTTTATTTAATAATATATAAATATATATAAATAAATATTTATTCTCATAGGCAAGCCTCCAAAAAACACCCGCTGTATGACTACAGTTGATCTGACTAGACTTGATAAAAAAAACACCAAACCAGACTCTTGAGACTTAAGAGAAACCACTTTTATTTTCTAAATAATGATTCCAGCATTGTAATATTTTATACTTGGAACTGAAAGGGTTTCATGTGATTTAAAATAAGGGTATTTATAGTCTGTAAAAGACTGCAAATACTTAAGGTATGGAATAGAGGATGATGTTTTTTCCTGAACAGGAGCAATATGGTGCATTTAATACAATCTTTGTGGTCTTGTTCCACAGACGAAGGGGAGCCTCTTTTCACAATACCAATTATTCATTTCTAAAAAGAAAACAAGAAAGGAAAGTCAATAATCCGATTTTAATTTTAGAATCAACTATCCACCATATAGGTAATTATTTTCTGAAATATTTCCTGCCTACAGTCAGTAGATTTAGTAAACGTACCAATTGTCAGGCATTTTTTCCATCTGTTCAAGTTGCTTAGCTCGTTTTGGGACCAGTTCTCAACATCAAATGCTGAACCATCGCTCCATAACCACTCCAACTTCTGTAAAAACAAACAAAAGACAAATAGCAGGTAAATAATGGTGTACTTATGTATATGTTAATTTACAAATAGACCATTCAATGAGAATCTATTTATACAGGGATAAGATAAGATAAGATAAGATATTCCTTATATATATATCATTCCTTAATAGTCCCACAATGGGGAAATTCCAATTTTGATCGAGCTCTGTGAAGTGACGTTACCCTAACAGCATCAGTGCCACCAATCCAGGCTTTGTCATAATAGCCGTTGTTCATCAGTAAGTCCTGGATGAAACTGTACTCCTCTAGGTCATGGATGGATGCCAGGTTGGCACCATAGTGCCAACATTGTTTCTGTAAATGCAGAGGAACAGCTCTTACTGCAGACATACAAATAACCTCAGGGCTATAGCAGATACATTGGAAGTAATGAAACTAGTGAACTGACATTCACTTTAATGTATAATAATATAATAATTATGTGGAGGCATTCTGTCCTTTATATTACATTTATTTTTGCTTGTGGGTAATGTTTTAGTTATATTAATTTATGTCTTGATCCTTAAATATCTACAGTACACAGCCATATATTTAACATGTAAGCTGAATTATATCTCACAGTTATAATATGTCTTCAGTAATTTACCAAGCTACACTTTGGAGTTTGTGTTTAAACCAAGTTACTTTAAGTATGGTTGAACACAAATCAATATTACATTCAGAAACCATAAACAGTCTCTGTGGTAACATTGTGAATTTAACACCTTTATGTATGAGGGTGATATGTCAGGCTACCTCTGCATCTATCCAGGCCATTGGGCTGTTGATGAAGATGAAACATCGCGATCCATATCTTTGCCAGTTGTAAGGACAGTCGTAGTCCCAGTTGTTATAGTCTGGAGACAGGGAGGTTGGGTACACCTGCCATTCAGTCATCCTTCCTGCTATCTTACGTAGCAGTTCCCCTCCCCTTTTCTCTGATAGAAAAAAAAAAAAACAGACTGAGTTTTACAAAAAGTGACACATTTTGGATCAGAGAGTTCCTATCTTTACTGTCCAGGGATTTATTTTTAGATGATTTATAGAGTTGAGGTCTTAATTTGTGCCACTTCGGCTACATTACAGTTAGTTATTTACTTTAAATCTCAAGTTTCAAAGCTGAGTCTGAACAATCAAAGAGAAGACAAGATATTCTCTCTCACCTTTAGTCTGGTATTGCTGAATGGGCTCGGGCTCGGGCTTCTCTACTGGCTCTGCAGAGGAATAAGAGCAGCATTCAAACATAAATACTTTTGTTTAATATATATATATTTGTGGTTTTATTTTGGTGTCACAGTTGTGCATGTTCAGCACAATAGAAGTGGACAAACCTACTTATCTATTTTCTTAGTGTTACAGTAATCCTTAAAAAAACAGAAATATCTGGATTTTGCACTGTTTCTAGTTACAAGTACAAATAAATAAAAATAAATAAATGCACAGTAGTTGACAGTTAAATGCTGTATCTATACACTCATTTCTACAGTAAACGAAGCAGAAAATAGCTGCCTTTTATTTTTTGTGCCCCATAAAAATGCAGGATGGCATCATTTACTGAGCCAGGTTTTACATACAAAACACTCCACATGTTTACAGCTGGAGTTACAAGCTATGTTTAAACTGTAACCTTGGTATAAACTAGTGAGAAGATGCATCATCAGGTCTTTACGGTCTTGTTGAGTCACACCTGATTCTATCTCCTTCACTGGATCTGCTGTGGAAGAAGATGTAGATCACAATTAACCATCTTCAGAAACTAAATTATGGCATTAAGTTAGACTTTAGTTAGATCATGACTCACTTTTATTATAATATTTCCATTATCAATTGTCAGTCAGTCTGTATTTTTGAAAACTTAAAACTATTTCTTTTCTTGCATCAGCTCTTTGTCTCGGTGTCTCACCTGATGCAACGCTCAAAGCGAAGGCAACACAGAGAAGAAAAATGACCCTCATTGTTTGCATCAAGTAATGGACTGCTGCAGAATCTAATAATCAGAAAATTAAAGAAGCAAACATTAATATGAGTAAAAACTTGAGTTATCTGTCAAAGCAGGAGGCTGGATATGCAGACATCCATGAATTATAATGGAAAGCTGCCAGATGAATCTCACCTGCTTCAGTAGAGGTAAATCTCAGCAGTGTCTGTATGTTGTGGAAAACTGCAAAATAAAGAACGCTTATATACAAAATCAACGAGGAAATATCTTTTACAACAACAGATCAACTTTTCAACATTTCTTGAGTAATTGATTGACTCGTCTGAGATGAATCACTGTTTTACAGAATCAAAGACAGGTTCTGGCAAGCACACAATGATGCTTTTGTGATTCACACAAACATCATCAATGGTTTCTTTTTATCAGAAGTGCACAACAATAGTTGGGAATTAACATCAGCTCCTTATTAAGTGTTGGGAAATGTTCTAGCCTCTGTTAAAGCTCTTCAACCTGTTGGCCACTGTAACTGTAAGTGGTTCACTGTACATATAACACTGTGGCTAAACATTCTGTCCTTAGGATTAAATAAAACTTACCTAAGAGTCTTTCGTTCTGGACCTTATGGCATAAAGGCAGAATCTCTCCTCCCTTACTTGTTGTCCCACACTCCCCAGTTTCACAGACACACAGTAAAACAGCAAAAAAGGGACATTTATATAGTGTTTTCATCCAAAACTCTTTGCAGTTTGCCTGTAATGGCAATGTGCAACCAGCAACCATGCAAGGTGCTGGCTGACCATCAGGAGGAGTTTAATTCAAATCAAACTGCATCAGGCTAATAGTGTATGTGAACTTTAATGGAGACTGCTATCAGGATACAGAAAGAACCAACTGATACCTGAAAGAATAATAGAGAAGGTACAAGAAATACTTTGGTCCATACCTTCTGGTTCTGACACATACTAGCAGGGAACTAGTCTAATTATTTGTATAGTTTCTTTTTTGTTTGTTCTGTAAAATTTAGGTATTGCGTATTTTATTTAGACTTACTAGACTGCTTTTAAAAACCTTGCCAACTTCATTCTGAGCATCAAGCAAGTAGAAAAAAATATTCCCAATTGGTCAGCCTTTAAACTGAGGAGACGTGACAAAGTCTTTATTTACGGCCTCAGAGGTCAAAATTTACAATGATTTATTAAGTCAGATTCTGGGAAAATAAATCAACAGGGGGGAACACAGGTTTTGGTCAAATGAACATGTGATTGGATCTGTTCACAGAAATTAGCCAACTCATCCCAGAAAGATGTTTGTTGGTTTTTGTACTTTTAACCACAAACCGAGGGCCTGTTTGAAGGATGTCCACTGGAGTTGAGCCTAAAAGGAATAAATACTACAGTTTCAAAAGAGAAGAACTGCACACAAAGTAAACACAGTTTCATCACTTTATTACAGTAAATGAGTCCATATCATACACACACAGAACAGAGACGAACAGGTTTGTGTTTCTTTCTCTCTCTTTCTCCATCTCCGTCACTCCAACACATCAGTCCACCAGGACAGAATGACACCACACCGAACAGCATTGGAGTACAAAAATTAAATAAAAGTTACATATTAAGAGATGCAGAGATCTCCCTCGGTTAGAATAAGGGAGGGTTATATTAACACACAACTGAGTTTTTCGGAGAATTTAAAAACACAAAGAAAACTACAATTTCTGAGATTCAGTTTACTTGAAACTGTCGGTCAAGCGGAGCAACATTTCTGCATGTTGCCTGACCACACACACACACACGCACACACACACAGAGCTGATAGACGGCTCTGTCTGCAGTCTCAACACAAATGTCTGTTTCTGCCATATTGTAATCATTAGCAGCAATTCTGAATACAGTCCAGCACATAATACAAAATGCCCGTGTTGAGTACAGGCTGGACACCATAATGTGATTTCTAGTCCAACTGAACACTTTTGAGATCTCTAAAGTCAGACATCACACCGTCTGTGGAAATGCCAGCGTCATTTTTCTCAATACTGCACAGTAATAATATATTGCAATCTATCATGACACACAAACAAAGTTCTGTTCCAAAAACGAGAACAATCAAGTATGTGGAAGAAAAAAAAGACACAAAAAACCTGAAGTTCCAGTCTCACTGGCGCCACCTACGGGCAAGAAACTGCAACAACTGTACACACGAAAGTCTGTTTAAAGGTTTTGGGGGAGTTCTACTGCGCATGAGGAAAACAAGTTGTTTGAACCCTTTGTGGCTCCAGAGGGAGCTGCATGAAGTATGATAAAATTGCCGCAACATTGGTTTGTAATAGAGAAAGATCAGCTACTGGGGTGGAAAAAGAGATAAATGATGCTTCTAGGCCTCTGTAGCCTGATCCTCATCTCTACTTGAGGCCTTTTGTTTTCTATAGCTGCTGCTTTGGGGGTGTTGAGCTTTAAATGTATTACTTTAAAGACTTTAGTTTTCAGCATCTTAGTGTGATTGCGTTTCCTGTGATCACTGTAGAATAAAATGGGAGATTACAGAGGACAAAAGGAAACACATCCTGAACATGTTTCACTATGATTGGCACAGTTAGGAATTTATGATTGAAGAGCTCCCTCTTGTGGAGAATCTGCAGCCTCTAAATGTGAAAAAAAAAAAAAAAAATTTAAATTGTATCATGGTGAAAAAGTAAAACAAACATCTCTGTTTTAAACATTATGCATTTATTATACTGTGTAGATCAACAGTAGACGGGCAGGTTGGAGAGAGCACTGTGGGGGCCAGATTCAAGATGCCGCTGCCACGCAGCTCTAACGGGCAAACATGACACGCCTCGGTCAATTCAGTTTTAGAGAGGTTTCACGCATTTTGGAACAGAACCTGTGAAATATTCATTCAACAGTCTGGTGGTCCCACACAAGACCGCTGAGTCCTCCCTGTTAGGCTGAGTAACGATGTTGTTAACAGCTACTTTACAATTTCCACTGGACTACGAGACAGAGAAAGAGAGAGAAAGATCATCAACAAACATGAGGAGTAGGCTGATTTTTTTTTTCCTTTGCACTATTTACACTTCTGAATTGTGAAAAAAGAAACTTATTTACAAAAAATGCCCAAACTAAGACTGCTTCATCGACAGGATGAGGGAAATAAGATATAAACAACTCTGTAATAAAAAGTAAAAAGAGCAAAATAAAAATCAGTGATATTTACACGTGGGGTGAGGGAAGGAGAGCGAGGGGGGGGGCTTCTGAGATTAGGGAAGAGAAAAATCAGCCATGTTTGATTCCTATAGCTGGGTGCAGCTTTTGTTTTTTTCTCCACACCTTTTCATAGCCACAGAAAGTCTGACAGCTCTGAGTGTGAGGCACCCCGCAGAGGTAATCAAACACGCCGGTTGGACTCTTTACAGCAAAGAAAAGCAGAATGTGGCCGGCAGTAACCCACAGGACTGGGAGCCTTAGCAGCCTGAAACCCATACAAGCAGCTGGGAGGGAAAACCATGGAGGGAAAGAGGTTGAAAAAATGCTCTCCACTCTCCTCATATGAAATCAATGTGAATGTGTCCAGTGGTGGAATTCAAAAAGCATCAGAGCTCTTCACTTATATTTTAAAAATAAAAAACAAGAAAAACAGAGATGGCTGCAGGTAAAAACAGCAGGTGGAGGCATGGTACAATAGTATCAAATATACTATACTACAAACTTTCAAGTGGTCTTCACTGCTTACTAAAAATCTGTATTGTTGACAGCTCTAATACCTAAAACACTGGCTGTTCATACTGCAGGTTGGAATATGGTATGACACACACACACACACACACATTTGTACTTCTATACGTGAGAGGATGTCGTGACTGTGATAATACATTCTCTGACCCATGACCTTAACCTAATTCTAACTTTGACCAAGCCTCTTTTTTCACTCTTATGGGGTAAAAGTCAAATCGGTCCTCAGAGAGATAGAAGTGCACACAACAGGAACTTGATCAACTACTATTCACATTAAGCCTTTTTACTTAATCTCCCTCATGCTTTGCTTCTGCGTACAGAACTAAAGACCTGAAGCAAATGTCAGAGTTAATTTGTTTCTACGAAGCTTCTTCAGGAGAGAACGTTTCTTTAATTACCACTGACGCCGAGTACAGTTTGCTAAAGACGCTGTAACACCATTTCAAAGCCCTATTTGGCAGTAACTCTCATCCAAAAACAAATAAATAAATAAATTTACATGAAGATGAAGAACCCTCCCATCAGGTTTAATAAAATAATAAAATCAGAGCCCCGGCATTCTTCAGGTGGACCACCATTCAATCTAAAAAACCCTTTTTCTACATTAACACCAGCACAGCAATGACCTTTGAACTAAAGGGGACTTTCACCAAAAGGGACTTTTTGATTAGATAGCATCTGTGATTAATCTGCTAATAATTTCCAGGGGATCTTACAGGTTTTTGAGAGACACGTTTATAATATTCTAGACTAAAATAAAATAATGAATCAGGCTGGCAAAAGCAGTCTATTGTATTCTGTATCAATACATGTCAACAGGCCTAACAGGAAGACCACATGAAGTTGTACAGAGGAGCCATCAAATTACCACATTTACTATTTTTAAATACTTTTCAAAGCTTTAAAATGATTTGTTAAAACAAAGGCATCATGCTTGCATCCTCTTAAATGGCTCAATTACAGTTTTTTCCTGTTTTGAAAGCTCAAAATGAAAAACAACACAAAAATGTTTATTTTTTTTGGTTTAATTAAAATAATGACATTCCAGCCAATTTTAGTTTTCTCCACAGTGAACTGCCACCGCCACCGCCTGGCACAAGTGAAACTAGTGAAGGCTGTCATTTATAGGCGGTTAAAGGGGCTGTAAATTTGGTTATTTTCACATAAACAACATCTGGAAACTACTTTAAGAAGCACTGATGTTGTGATGCAGATTAATGATTAACCTCCAGTTTATTAGACAACTGTCAGTATCCCATGTTAAATTAAGGGATGACAGGGAGCTATTGCTGTAATGATTTAGGACAGTGGTATCCAGAGCACTGCTGGTTTTCATTTAATCATCAATTGAACAGTTTGCAGGACAGAGAACAAGCAGCACACTGTGCAGTCTCCACACACGTACATTTAGTTGCACTATGGTTCTAATTTGTTTGCTCACTTTCAAAAGGCAATTTTTTTAGATGAGTATCTCCTCCGCTTTGGCTGAACACCACATTCACACTTTCTTCACAACTGAAGTTTATACGCCTAAGTGAAATTTTGAGGTGATGAACAAGAGCAGGAGTCAAGAAGTATTCTTCTGGATGTTTGACATAATTTTCTTTCCAACAAATTAACACCTCTGCCCTCCTTAGTTGAAAAACAAAACAAAAAACAACTAATAAAAGCTGAAAATCTGTGATTTATCTTACCCATATTTATATAGTAGTGTGAACAGGTAGGGGAACTGTTTCTTAGAGGAATATTTCACTCTTTTGCCAGACAAAACTCTCTAGAACAGGAAACAAACAGATGGATACGAGACGCGGTGGATATCTCCAGTCCAGTCTGTATAAATGCAACCACTGAACACGAGTCACGTAAGGGGCAATCCAATACACCTCCGACCAAACACTGATAACTGCTACTGGGTACTGATGAGATTTTCTACTCTACATAAGTAGGTAAATAAACAATAATTTAAAAACATCAGGCTGGATTGTTAAAATAATGAGGCTGGAGGAATTGGGAATTTATTAGTCCCTGCATCCGCTCTCCCGTCCTGAGTGGAATAAAATTCCTTTTACCCTGATGACCTATTTAGGGGCCAGTTCTGATCTCGGTCAGGCAGTGTACAGGCCACCCCTTACGAACAGGGATGCAAAAACACTGAATATAAAAAAATATTCTGAATTGAAAAAAGAGATAAAACATTGTGTGATCACATGATGCTTTCAATTAGTCAAATAAATAAACACAAATATAAAGAAGAAAAAAAAAGGTTGATTTAAAAAAAGGTTATATTACAGAGGACCAGCCCCCACTATTGAACCTTCACATACCACCCGAGCAGCAGCGAAACTCTCTGTGTGTAACAATCACCTGCCGTAGTTTCAACCCTGGCAGCTAAAGAACTAATGTTTGTTTGTTCAATGCATTTACTGTACAAAAACAGATCATCTAAGAGGAGAGCAAGCAGCATGGAGGAAAGCAGGAGAGAGAGAGAGAGAAGACTGAGAGAGAGAGAGAGAGAGAGAGAGAGAGAGGAGAGGACGAGAGAGAGATGAGGAGACCCGATGGAAGAGAGAGAGCAGAGAGTGAGTAAATAAAAAAATAAAATAATTGTGAGGGTGTGTGTGTCTGAGGTAAGGGTGAGGCTGGCAGGCAGGCAGGCAGGTGAGAGGCTGCTTTAGATGCTGTTAAGAGATCCTGGTACTGAACTGTGTTGGGATGAATCTGAACCGGTACCATCTGAAAGACAGAATAGGAAACCAAAGGGACAGTGAGTGTAAATAACAGTCCAGTACACAAAAGGACCTGACAGCAAAGTATTATACATGACACCGTATTAGCCTTAAGGTAACGCAAATGACTCTTTAAAGGTCCAGTGTGTAACATTTAGGAGAGCTATTGTCAGAAATGGAATATAATATTCAATGGTGTGTTTTCATTAGTGTATAATCACCTGAATATATGAATCACTGTTTTTTGCTACCTTGAATTAGCCTGTGTAATCTACAACTACACCGCTAGATGCCACTAAATCCTACACACTGGACCTTTAATAGAAGTATTTCAGTTTTATGAAAGAAAAGCCTTCAGATGTGCAGCGTATTCTTAGACTGATGGGCTCTGTTGTACATATTTCCAATCCACAGAACAGGGTTATCACATGGGGAAAAAAGCATTTCAAATAATTGTTCATTTTGCATTTCCCAACCCAGAATAATCCCGCAGAGCTATCAGAACCAAAACTCAAAATTAGCCATTTAGACACAATGTCTCACCAGTTGAAACAGATAAAATAGACAAGCATTTTTGCTGTCAAATTATTTCACTCAGTAGCTACATAATAACAAAATGTAAAAAAAAAAAAATAATAAATAAAAAAAAGGTGTTAAAATGGTATTCAAACACCTAACGGTATAGCTCTTCTGCCACCACAAAATCATAAAACTGACATTTACAATGAAATCATAATAAGAGAAACATAAGAGCTTCCCACCGTGGGCGGAAGCAGCTGTATGAGAGCGAGCGTGAGGAGGAATGAGGGTTGAGTTCAGCTGGGGCTGGATTGACAGCTCTGCAGAAAATAAAAGAGGGAGTTTTTATTTAATGATGAGTCATATATCAAAAAGGACAGTCTCACACAACAAAGGGATAGTGTACGCTGCATTAATTGCACCTCCTTTGAGGTCACAGCGTTGGCCCAAACCAAACCAAGAAACACCAACTGATTGTATTTAGCTAAACAGATGGTGATCCATTGAGGATAACTTCAACAAAGGCAAAACAGATGGAAATCTCCTCCCTAAATAATAAAAAAAAAAGTTTCTTAGAAAAATGAAGGTGGCGTTGTAATTGAACTAAAACCCTTAAGCTAAGCGTGGTTGAATCTGCACGTACCTGTGGGGCTGAAGTTGAAGAGCATCGGCAAATCTCGGCCGCTGGGCAGTCGTGTGTTGGGCTGGCGCAGCTCATCGAAAAAGGCATGCGAACAGGCCTCTAGTGGGGAGAGCCGGGAGGCTGGCGTGTACTCCAGCAGCCGGGAGCAGAGAGCAATGGCTTCTGGAGGGGTGCGAGGTTTAAACACCTGAGGAAGAAGAAGAAATCTAAGTACAAATATCCAAAAATCACATCCACTCTACAAGATTTCTAAATAATCAATAAGGTTTTCCTAGACAAAAGCACTGAGTATCATTGATATGCAGAAAGGCAGATTTCCCTTTAAGCTACAATGTACAACTGTGTGGGTATTCATTATTTACTAGCATGACACTCTAAATGTAAAATGTAGAACCGGCCTATTCAACTGGCGGCTTGCAGGCCACATATGGCCCAGAAGCAACTACAAATATAGTGTATGGGAACATCAAACAGAAAGAAAACACAAAGAAAACATGTGTAACTTTCAGTTCAAACCCCTTATAGGAGGTGCTCTCCATCTAAAAAAAGCAGTTTTTGGAGTAGGAAGATATCCGCTTAGTAGTAAACGCTGAAGGGCCACTTCCCTTGGTTTTACGTTGTTTCTGTACTCTTAAAGTGTCAGGGTTAATCGATCAGAAGGAGGACACTAAAGCACTTCAACTCCCAGATTAAAATAGACCGTGTGGGCAGCAGCACATCCACAGGTATTCTCTTCTTTTGTTCTGATACACTGCTGCAATGTATGGCCCTTTTTGGAACAAATACCTTCATAGATTAATGTTTTGGGTATGTATATAGAAATTTAAAACATTTGCAGAGTTCATCCATATATACATATACAAGATAACCTCAAATACAATATGCAGAATGTCGTAAAACTTAGTAAGTAAAATAATAGTAATAAACATTGATTTTAGAACAACTTTATACATCATACATCAACATTTTTTTCCACAGAATTCCTCAATTCCAGGACTGACACACAGATTAACTCTGTATTTACTCACCTTGGTCCATGGATGGGCTTTAATCTGAGGGAACTTGAATTCTGTGTAGTTTGGGTTCATCTCTCGGATTTGTTCCCTTGTTGGGGTTCCCAGCACCTGAAAATATATGCAGGAGTATGAGTAGTATTCTGCAGACAAACAGGCCAGTCGTGTGACAGCCTGCGATTATTCCAGCAGTCTATGATACCAATACATCAATACAACATAAAGAGGGAGCACACCCACAAGCACAACCAAAGTTCATATCTTAAAACACAATCTTCTCCTCATGATAATCTCCACTGAAAACAGGAAGTGGTCCTACAATCAGTTCAGCAATAGACAGGAAACCCAAACATTTCAGCAGCACACACTCACCTTGATAATCTCTACTAGTTGGTCCACCCCACTGTCACCGGGGAATATGGGTTGTCCGAGCAGCAGCTCAGCCAGGACGCAGCCTGCTGACCAGATGTCAATGTTTGCCGTGTAGTCTGTGGCACCAAAAATGAGCTCGGGGGCGCGATAATATCGTGAGCAGATATACGACACGTTGGGTTCACCGCGGACCAGCTGTTTGGCGCTGGGGAAACACAAGAATTCAAATTAAACAATAACAAAGAATGACTGACCGAGTGTAGTTCAGGGGATGAAAAGTGTGAACTATTGTGGAGCAAATGGTCATTAAGAGTTGTGGGGTTTATTGTTATTCCTTTCACAACTGATTACAGACTTTTTTTTTAAATATATATTTTTTTGGAGGGCTTTTATTGTCTTAAACCGATAGTGACAGCTGAAGAGTGACAGGAAGCCCTAACCCTATCTGGGCGCCCACTACAGACATTTTTGACCCACCAGTGTGAAAGCATCCACCACACAAAACCAACATTAAGAGGTAGGTTGAAGTCTGCCAATACAGTCCCATAATGAAATGGTTAATTCAGGGGTAACTTAACTTTCACGTTATCTGCAGAGTCAGCTGAATACCCCGTTGGAGAATAGATACACATCAATTCTGTTCTCTGCTTGATTTGGCTGTTGTCACGATCACCTCTAGACATGTATTCAAATAGTCTGCTTAGAAGAAAAATGTGTCTTACATGTTTTTTCTGCCAAAAAAGTAGTAGATTTTCCACAATAAAACTCTTAAAAGGCATCTACTCCTTCTACCTCATTAAAAATAGCAGAATCTTTTCAAATTTTCTTCATTTCTCAAGTTTGCTACTTCACTATAAAGTCTGTTCTCAGTGTTTGTGCACGGGTGGCTTCAGGTTTCTACATCACACTTGTAAAAGTTGCAGACTGGACTAGGGTTGATTTGCAAACTATCTGTGATGTTACTAAACATGCATATATGCCCCTCCCCTTAAAATTAGATTTTCAGTGAGCACAGAGAAACTTTCCACTTTCAGCAGTTCATACATGTGAAAACACCCTTCTAGTGTCAAACTGTGCACAGTGAAGCTCAAACATTCAACTGCAGGAACAAAAAGAAAACATTTTTGACTGGAGGGAGACTTTAAATTCTTGATCTGTGCGTTTGAGAAACCCATGTGTTGATGCAGCTCACCTGCCGAAGTCACACAGCTTGAGGATGGCAGTTTCTGGGTCGACAAGCAGGTTCTGAGGCTTGATGTCTCTGTGACACACGCCCTGGGAATGGATGTAAGCCAGACTGCGAAACAACTGGTACATGTACACCTGAGGAGGTCCCAATAAAACAACACATAATAAACTCTCAACGACATTAAAATGGAAAGAAAACAAAAAGACAACATTGCGATGAAATAATAATAATACGGTGATTTGTATTATTGTGTTAGAGTGTCAAATTGATGGACTAAAGATGCTCTCATGTAAAAAGTTGTAGGAAATTAACATTTTAGATTTAGTAATCCAAGTATTTCTTTGGTCAACATAAAGTAAAGAGATTTAAATCATCACATGGAGTCTGGGATTCTTCAGAGTTATTTTATACAATGTAGAAAAATGAACAAAACAAACAGTTAAAAGAACACAGAAATGTCTTAGTAGGAAAAAAGATCACCTTCACATAAATGATAGGAATGATGCTCTTCGCCTTGTTAAAATGCCTGGCAACCCTGTAGACCGTCTCAGGGACAAAGTCCAGCACCAGGTTGAGATACACTTCATCTTTCTGTACAGCACAGAGAGAACGAGATCAGAGTGTGTTTAAAATATGCATGATCTAATATAAGTTCTTACAGGAAGCCAGTCATTTCATGAGAGCAATGAGTGTCGATGCACAGAAAAAGCTGCCTGCTGCGACTGTTGGTTCACAAGCCGAATCTCTTTTGTTTGTTTGTTTGTTTCTTTATTAAACACACACACAGAACCCTGTTTCCAGTAACTTGCTTCTGCAACATTATACTTAGAAGTGTTTCTAAATCTGTCAGTGCAAGAAATGGATTGCTTCCCTTTTTTAGGTTCGGGGTATTTCTTTTTACTCTGCATGTGAGTAATCTTATCTCTTATGGGTAAACACCATTTCCTCTGTTTTACTGTAATCTCGTGAAACTATGCTACAGTGAGATAAGGGTGTGTAAATACAGTGACTTAGCAAAAGTTGGTCTGACCACACTGGATTTTTCTGCAATAACAAAAAAGGAAAAAAAGAAAGAAACATGAGCTGCACCTTCTCGCCACTGGAGTAGAAGAAGTAACGTAGTCTGACAATGTTGCAGTGATCCAGCTTCCTCATGATCTGTAGTTCCCGATTCTGTGAGGACAAGAAAACATGAGAGTGCAGGTGGGAAATTTAGAGGAGAAACCAAGCATGAGAAAAACTTGAAATAAAAA